GAGGACCAACGACTCTATATATATATATAGAGTATATATGTGTATAGAGAGAATATGAAGTGAGGGACATGTGGGGGATAGATGTGTGGTAGGCCGGGAAGGAAACAAGGAGAAAGAGGAGAGGGGCTGTGCGTGCTTTGCTGTTCTGTTATGTGAGAGATATAGTAAAGTTTATTCTGTACCACACAAGTTTGGATCCTTCTTTATCATTTCAACCGTACAATTCAAATTCTTCGTTACACATACACTACACACGAAACACACACCACACGCACGGACCCAACCCGTAGTAGGCCACATTGTATAGGCACGGCGCACTGCACACACGCACACGCAGACGCATACGCACAGACACATACACACAGAGATGCACACATACACGCGCACACACACTACACACCTGCAACGCGTTCGAACTGCGCTGGCGATGTGTGGATAATCGGCAGATAACGGATAAGCCCTCGGCTCAGAGCCAAACTAGCTGCCGTGCACGCCGTATAAGGAATAATGGGCGGGGCTTACTGTCTCACTAAAATGCAGATTTACGAGGAAATTCAAGGGCGCAGCATGCTAAATAGCAGGTGAATTTTGTTAACAAGCCACTAGCTATCGATTAAGACAGTTCGCGAGTAGATTGATGCGGCAGAACGTTAGATCAGCGATTCGCACATCGAAAACTTTAGATGTACTTGTGTGACGAGAGGTGCGGTGGGCGATGCCTGTTTAAGCGTGCCCATACGGTCTAGTTGCGAAACAATCTTATCAGGTAAGAATTTGACGATACGTTTAGTCCCGTTAGTTCTTACTTTTAATGTAAAAAAATGGCAACAAACATTTTACAAATTTTACCATAGAAAATTCGTCACGTAGTCAATTTAAAGTGTTAGTGTGACTGTCAAAGCCATGGATAGTGCTGACAAACAATTGAAACATAAACGAAACGTTAATAGCGATGAAACTGGACACGTGGAAGTGACGTGAACATTCTGAGTGACAACGATTGTAAAGCGCTAAAGCAGCCAGTCAGCATACAGGGCCCCGTTGTCAGAAACATCGTAAAGTTAATGCTAATGTTAATGCTAAGATAACACTTACGACTAATGTTAATGCTACGAGAGTAGCGTTGACAGAAACACATCGTAGCTACGACTACGATCGAGCAAACTCACGATAACAGGAACTTCATAATTTCATGTCACAAGGCTGCTGATTGGATGAGAATCGATCACAAAATTCAAATTCATACACATCTATTGTACATCACAGTAATTTATGCATATTATGATGGCTAACCACATATAAATAATATTTGATGAAAAACGACACGGTCATGAATTTATTCTGCACAACAAGACAAATTCTCACACTGTAACACGAGACGCGAGAGTCGTGGCAAGCGTGGCAAACATTTAAAACAAGAGAATAAATGCCATACGCCATTTGTAAATGTATTGTTTTGTTTTATCATCGGTAGATAATTAATGATTTTGACGTGTTTTTCTTGAAAAACACATTTTATTCATTATTATAAAATATAATATCACTATAATTGTAATTCGTAGTGTAAATGTGTTATTTTCAACTTAATATTAAAGTTACGAGAGGGTCTGGGCTCTCGTAATGTTAAAAGGATATTTTCGAGAATTTTTCATTCTCGTAACGTTGCGATGTTTCTGTCGACGGTTACGAGTGGGAGTTAATGTTAAGACTAATGTTAAGACTAATTTTGTTTCTGACAACGGGCCCCAGGACTGCAAGATCAAGCTTACAGCTTATGATGGAGGCGAAATACCTGTAAAGGGAAATGTATCCTCAGTATAAAGCACGATAGTAAGCTCTACAGTTTATTATCTGTGCAACTGAAGTAGTCCCAATCTTGGGTAGATCTTGTGAGGATCTTGGACTGATCAAAAGAGTTTGTTATGTGTGTAAAACTCCTGAAACGCACAAGCATTTCTTCGACGACTACAGTGATACCTTCCGTGGTCTAGGCTGTCTGCCCGTGAAAGTAAGCATACACACACGTGATGACGTCCTACCTGTGGTAGAACCGTGTAGGAGAGTACCATTCGGGCTACAGGACATGCTGAAGGAAAAGCTTAATCTGATGGAGTCGCTGAAAGTAATAGCTAAATTGAGTGAGCCTACTGAATGGGTTAATTCACTGGTAGTTGTGCACAAACCAAGTGGCCAACTGAGAGTGTGCATGGATCCTAAAAATCTAATTAAGGCTATCCAACGTGAGCACCATAAGCAACCAACAAGGGATGAAATATCGCCGAGGTTCAGTGGAAGCAGATATTTCTCCAAATTAGACTGTCGAAGTGGATATTGGCAACTAGAACTTGATGAAGCCAGCTCGAAACTGTGCACATTTAACACTCCATTTGGGCAATATCGCTACTTGAGACTACCATTTGGTGTATCATGTGCAAGTGAAATCTTTCAAAAGAAAATGAAAGAACTATTCGAAAATATAGATGGAGACACAGTGCACCAGATAGCTTGCGTATTTGCGTAAATACGCATGAATTTCATACAAATACGCATGTAATTTTCAAAGGTATGCGTATAGATACGCTTGTGTTTTAATAAATACGTACATGAGAAAACAAACAGATCGTATCAGTACGCTAACCTTCAATCTACTCCCGTATCGGCTCGACTCTCTCGCTAATAGACTGGTAGCTTGGTCGCGGTGCCCCACTCATTAATTTCGCTATGGCTGCTGTGTGTCAGTACGTGAACCAGTCTATCTACTATCTATCGTGACTGGTTCCTGTGTGTAGTTTATTTTACAAAGCTATGAGTTAGAATGTGTTGCGACTGGAGGGCAGTCTATACTCGCGGCCTTCCCGGAATTAATTCAAATAAGGAAAGTCGAACTGTGTGATCTAACTGTGCTCCCCATTGGTCCAATTATATTTGATTAGCGCCAATTAGAATTCAGTTTAACTCCCGCGGTAAAAAAACGCAACGTGGACCGTCGTCTGCAGAAACAAACATGAAGTCTACACGTCGCGCTGCCGAACAGTGTCAGAGCATTTTAAAATATATGAATCCTACAAGACCAAGGAATGTTTCGTCAGTGGAAGATATATAGTTTCACCTATAATCTCGCTAGTTGTTGAAAACTGTCTGGACATTGTCGCTCCCAAGGCTAAGAAGAAACACGATGGTAGTTTTGTTAGCGAGGAGACAGTAGCAAAATGGAAGGGAAAATATCCATGGCTTATACTCGTTGGAAAGGGGGCGGACAGAAGGATTAGGTGTGACAGTTGTGTTAATGCAAAAATTGATAATGTGTTCGCGAAGGAAGGAAGTCCGAGTATACAGATATCTACCATTGAAAAGCACAACAAGACGTTGGACCACGAGAACGGCAGGGTCTTTGGGTGGTGTACAATCACTATGTCAAGTTTTGTGTGAGTACCTCTTAAACTAATGAGGTTGTAAAGGCAAGATATGTTAATATTCTGGTCGATACTCATACTAAGAAAATATGATGAGTACTGCCAACAAGGAGTACTCATAGGGATCTTGCCGATACTCATACATTAAAAAAATGGTGAGTAAATACTCATCAACGCCAAAAATTATCTGGAGCACTGAGACAAAGTATTGATGGATGATTTAGCTGTGCATGCTGAGACAAAAGAAAGCACGGTGAGCGTCTGGATGCGGTGTTTCAGATTCCTAGGAAACATGGTCTGGAATTAAATTGTGAAAAGTGCTTGCTCGGAGTGAATGAGATTACGTTCATAGGAGACACTTACACAGATAAGGGATTGAAGCCTGCTCAGAAGAAGATAAAGGCAATCACTAAGCTAGAGCGTCCAGAAAACCGTACTGGCTTGTAAAGTTTTCTGGGGATGATCAACTATCTGGCTAGATTTTTGCCTGATTTATCAGCCAGATCAGCTCCACTGAGAACACTACTGGATAAGAACATTCAATGGAGATGGGACCATGAGCAGGAACAGACATGGACAGACCTCAAAGCTCTGATTACGAGCAGACCAGGGGGCCGTTTCACGAAGCTATCGTAAAAACGCCATCTTAAGGATATCCTTAGAATTCTTGTATGAGAGCCTAACGCTGTCCTAAATGTCCCTCGTTAAACTGTTTCACGAAACTTATGCCGGTGCGTTGTTAGACTGTCCTTAAAATTCAGCTGTAACGATGTTGCTGGTGGCATAGACTGGTACCATATCTCTACACCTTGCTACTAGATAGTCTATATATATAGAGACATGTTACAAAATACAAGTCTAATGGCGACCCAGCTCACTGTGAGTTGCTATGCTAATCTCTCGCGTCATTTAGTTTTAATACATGTAGGTACAACAGCGTGCAAACTAAAAATAATAGGTTAAAATATTTTTAAATGCCAAGTACCTGAGAAATAATTAAACTAAAGCAAGGTTGTCATATTTCCTGCAACTAGAACTACCACAAATGACGTATTGACTGAACAAAAATGTAACATAAATTCTGAAGGTTTAGATTTACGTTTACTTTGATACAGTATTGGCGACATAGGATACAGTGCATACATACCTATAGCACATACCGCCATAGCATATATACATGAACAGCCGAAGCACGCTACATGTAAGGTGCAAGGAAGCATTTCATCTCTTCAAAATCTGCTACCACAATAAGAAGCTTCTTAGCCACACTTAACCCCTGCGTGTCATGCCTTCACAGGCCTTGCACAGTATTCTCGTAGACACAGAAGTTACCTTCTCGGCGGGTTTTCGCTTTACACTACGGCTAGCCAAAACAATGAAAACACGCGGGAAATCGCGCGTTGCTTGCTGTACGATAGCCTAAGTACTGCCCCTGACCTGTCCTTAATATTCCTCCTTAATAGCAACGTCGTTGAGTTAGCGAGACGTTTGTGAAACGTGGAAACTTAGCGAGGCTTTCGTGAAACACTTTCTATATAAGGATATCCTAAAACCCCTCTTTAACCCATCACTAACTTAACGAGCGCTTCGTGAAACGAGCCCCAGTGCTGCAATACTACTATGTGAGAAAGGCGGTGAAGATATCAACTGACGCATCCCAGAGGGGAATAGGAGCAGTATTGCTTCAGTGTAAATCCCTAGAACGGGAAGACTGGTTACCGATATGCCTCAAGGGCCATGACAGAGTGTGAACAGAGATACGTGCAGATAGAAAAGGAAGCTACCAGTATGTGTATGGGCACAGGTTTGAAGCTGAAACAGTTCACAAACCGCTGATCGCTATTTTCAGTAAAGCTCTAAATGACTGCCCAGCTAGATTACAGAGACTGCATTTGATATTGCAAAAGTACGATTGTGAGCTAAAGTGTAAACAAGGTAAACTAATGTTTACAGCAGGCATGTTGTCCCGCAATTAGCTACCAGACACAGTTGATACCAGTTTTGAAACTGAAGTAAGTGCGCATGTTGTCAGTGTCATGAAGCATATTCCCCGTAGTTGATAGAAAGCTAGAAGAAATTCGAGCGGAAACTGACAAAGATGAGACAATGAATGAACTTAGAGAGATAATTCTGAAAGGGTGTAGTAATAAGTTTAAATGCCCAGAGATATTGCATCCTTATTGGAACTTTAGAGATGAATTGACCGTCAGGGGCGTAGCTATCACAACGCAGATACGCAGTTGCGTACACATCATTTCACCAAACATTTTTTTATTGCAGAGAGAGAGGGAGAGAGAGAGAGAGAGGAGTCAGTCAGTCAGACTAAATTGTTTGTAACAAATAACACCCACGCGGCGCGCCACTGTATCACAAGCTTACTAAATCAGTGACGGATTTAGGGGGGGGGGATTGGGTGGCTAGATTACCCACGCTGTTGGACTAACAATATTTTTACATAGTCACGCAGCTGTACACAGGGGCGGATTCAGAGGGTTTGGGTGACCAGTTTCCATAGTTCTAGTGACAGCTAGGGGGGTCCGGGGGCAAGCCCCCCCCGGGAATTTTTAAAAAATTAGGCCATATTTGGTGCTCTGGTGAATTTTGATGGTCAATTCTGAAGATACCCAGCCTGTGACCGGTTTCTGGAAACCGGTGCAAACCGGCCTAAATCCGCGCCTGGTACAATACGTCACAGACACCTGATGCATAGGTTAAATTATATAATGAAGTAGAAAAGCAGGTTACAACCCTTTTGCAGCTTTTTCACAATTCCAAGAAAGTTTTGCTGTCGTCCTCATCCCAGCGGTGGTCACCCCTACACATTGAATAATAAACGTGACTTAAACAATCCCCTGATGTGATGTGATGTGCAATGAGTGATGTGTGTGTTTGAGCACACACACGTGCCCACACGCACCCGCACACGCATAGACCCTACGCTCGCTCGCATGCACACAGAGAGGGAGATAATAAAATGTCTTGATAATAAAACGAAAATTACATGATTAGTTATAATAATCTTTAGTGACCACATCTTGTTGCTTGTGAAGAGTTCTACTAAAAAGATAATTGTCGTAGTCAGAATGAAGGCTGTACAATTACTCAAAAGTGCCTCAAATACCATATCCTGCGATCCACAATTTCACAATTTTCCCAGACGCCCCTGACCATGACTAACGGCATCATCATGAAATGCAGTAGAGTGGTTGTCCCACAAAGCTTGAGAAAGTCGATACTTGATAAAATACATGCAGGTCATATGGGGATGGAAAAGTGTAAGTAAAGAGCTCGAGATTCTGTGTATTGGCCTATGATAAATAAGTATGTTGAGCACAAAGTTAAGATGTGTGATGCGTGTCTGACTTACAGAGACAGGCAACAAGGTGAGCCTCTGAGTCCACATAACACACCGGGGGGTCCATGGCAAAAGGTTGCCACAGATCTATGTGTATTTGATAAAAAGGACTACCTAATAGCAGTTGACTGTTATTCCTGCTATCGAGAGGTGGTAAGGATCAGCAGACAGACAAGCAGTGCAGTAGTAATGGGGATGAAGAATCTGTTTTCGAGACATGGTGTACCACAAGAGGTATTTTCTGATAATGGTCCGTGCTATGATTCTGAGCAGTTCAAGAAGTTTGCTAGGGACTAAGATTTTAACCATACAACGTCCAGCCCACACTACCCAAAGTCGAATGGCCAGGTAGAGAAAACTGTTCAGATTGTGAAAAATATACTAACGAAGTCACAGCACAATGGAGATGATCCAATTATTGGGTTATTAGCATACAGGTCTACGCCGATTATTGAGTTTATTACCAGCTCAATTTTTAATGGGGAGAAAGCTTAGATCTAACCTACCGACTACTGAAGACAGTCTCAGAGTTGATGAGTATGAGAAGGTAAAGGAAGGAAAAGAGGCCAACAAACAAAAGCAGAAGCTGTATCATGATAAAGGTACTAGGTTATTATCAAGTCTGGTAAATGGTGATGTAGTGAGAATGAGAGATGAGAAGACTAACAGATTGTCTATGAGAGCAAAAGTTGTTAGAAGACTAGCTCCAAGGTCATATTTAGTACAAGCAGAATACGGTGCAATGTACAGAAGAAATTTATAGGACTGATTTGCTTGCTACGAGTGCTTTGCACCACAGGCCCAAGAAGAAGTTATTCCTGTGACACTTAATACGGCTGAAACGGAACAAGGTCATACTACTAACCATACCGATACAAAACATTCATATGAAACGTCTTCAATGAAACCTACTAACAATGAGAATGTTAAGGATGTAAATCATACACCAGAGATTCCTGTCACACGAGATGACAATATAGTCAGAAGGTCGACGCGAGTGTTTAAGCGACCAGACAGATTGATTGAGTCATGTTAACTAAGTTGAGAGTCTATATCAGTAGATAGGATGTACTAGCATGTATAATAATAACGTTTAACAAAATGTAACCGAAGACAGTGATAAGAGTTAGATTTGAACTATTTCTGTTATAACAATTATGTTACCATAAGATAGTCAAGTTGTTAATGGTTCGATGTAATGTGCACTTCTAAAAAAAGAAAATCCTAATCTGGTTATACGCATAAGTAATCAACAGAACAAGATTTTGTTTAATGTGATTTGTTTACACCCCTACAGTTTGTTTAAAGAAAGGGAGGTGTAATGGTTTGTATATTCACTATTATATTTGTTCAATACGAGACACCGTCAGGTGTTGCCCTCTATTATCCTGATTATGTAATCATACATTATATGTTTATAAAAGCGTGGGCTTGAGCGTATATGGCTGAGACCCGCAATAAAGGACAAGTTCATTTACTCCAGTGTTACGTTTATTATACTGCGTTGATCCGCACCTAAAGAATATTACATTACTGATGTTAATATTGATTTCACATAGATATAGAAGTGATATTGCCAGGAGTGTCATAATATAGACACTGTAGTGTCTGTAGTGTCTATAGTGTCTATAGTGTCTATACTACTCAGGATCTACATAGTCATAATATGATTAGTGAATAATAATAGATCTATTATTATTCACTCCTGATGTTGCTATTAGTACACTCCACGCAGTGTGATGATTTTCCATTATCAACGTGATAACAGCATATCATGGCAGTGATAACGGCAAATCATCACACTGCGTGGAGTGTAGCTATTAGTGGCTAGCATCATTGCTTGTGCTGCCTCTGGTGGTTACATTGATGCTTTTGTTTGCCTTTTCACATCTCACTTATCTTACTGTAAAATCCTTTTTTTTCATGGGGTTCTAATTTTCGTGGATTTCGTGGGTCCATCAATCCACAAATTTATGTACCCAACGAAATATTATGTACATATGTCAATTGCCGGTTCCGGAGTGGAGGCCCGCAAACCGACGTCTGCCAACTTTCAAAGGCGCCGGTATTTCTGTAAACAATCAGGCCCGGCCGGGAGGAGGGGGACATCGGGTTTAGGCGGCAGTGACAAGTAACACAAAGTAGTGATAAAATTGCTGACACTCCAACCATCCAAAGCAATGTTTATATAGGAGTAATGTGCTCAGCTAGGGCCCGGGTTAGTTAGGCATCCATGTTTACACAACACTGTGGAGTCTGTGCATGCGCCAGAAACGGCAAGTAGGTGCGAGTTCAGGTTAGTAATTTGTTTGTTGGCATTGTTGTTTTTGAAAAAAAAAATTTATTGGAAGGCTTGATCCACAAATTTAAGAACCCACGAACATATATTTTTTATTGAAACCATGAAAATTGGAACCCACGAAAATATGTGACTTTACAGTACCTTTAGACTAACGTTTCGGCGAATGCCTGCATAAACCTGAAGATATTGCTGCTGCTGCTATGCTATGGTGCTATGATGCTATCTATCACAAGCAACAGTCACCTATAAATTTGAATTTATTTCTTAATAATATTTTACCATAACAATTACAATGTAATACATATAAAAAACTAAAATGTCACTGAGAATAATGCTGAATGACGGAGTAGTGTTATTCTTTAAATAGTGTAAAGAACATCAAGGAAATTTAATCTTTTCCCATGAAGGTGCAGAAATAATTCACACCTATTCATCTTCAATATCCAACTGATCAATTTCATCTTCTGCACCTCCTATTGCCCTCCAAAATTGTATAGCTACTTGTTCTGCAAATACTTTTCTCTGGTCATGTGGCAAAGTAGCTGCATGTTCTTTCATTATACGCATTCTTTCGAAAAGTTGCTCAAAGCTCTCACCTGAAAAGAAGATAATCCACATACATGTACACTGAAAACACATCAGCAAATATGCTCGTGTTTGCTGTACAATAACAATATACGATTAAAGGAATAATATGTCCATTGATTATGCAATGTTGACGAATGCTAGAGTAACTGGCACCTTGTGTAGTTAATAAGTACGTAACCTTATAGCCTAACGCGTATTAGTTTGTCCAATATCACTGCTGGTTACATTACAAGCAAGACTTGAAATCGGTTGTTGATATTCATTTATAACGTGCCGTAAATGTCATCCAGGAGTCAAGCGATAAGTCGCCGATAACGTAAACATTTGTGCGGCCCGTATGTTTTGGACGCCAGATGAAATGGATGTGTCAGCTGTGTAACTATGGCCACGGACTAAACATGGAAATGGAGTAAAACACACGTACTAATCACGGACGCACATGGACAGCCCTGACAAAAAGTTCCTTATCACGAGCGTCCGTGTTTACGAAATCACTGATGATAGCATTGCGTACGGCCGAGCGGTGTCAGGACAAATACCCCCCGGACAATTACCCCCGGACAATTACCCCCCCAGGGTTCTTGTTAATAGCCGGTAACCGGTTATTTTTACCGCCTATCGCGCAATTTGTTACCGGCTATCAATTTGAGAAACTCCAACTAAAGGCGGTAAAATATTTAATCCATATTTGAAAAAACGAAGTTTATTTTAAATACTTCCAACCAAGACTAACTCTGTGCACGGGCGGGTTTTTCTTTTTATAATAGATACTTAATATCATATATTTTCCTATCTAAAAAACGAAGTTTATTTTAAATACTTCCAACCCAAGACTAACTCTGTGCACGGGCGGGTTTTTCTTTTTATAATAGATACTTAATAATAATAGCATATATTTTCCTATCTAAACTACCAAATTCTAGAACCCATACTCATCAAAATAGGCTATTTGTGGGTCAAATCAGAATTTTTTTCCCGGGGGTGCATGCCGGACCCCCCTAGCAGGGCTTCGCGCCTTCGCGTCGCCTTACCGGGGTCCGGCCGGAAAACAGTTACCTTGTTTCTTGTCAAATTACCTTCGTTTGTCAAAGTTAAGCCTGCCCCCCTGCATTTACCCCGGACCAATTCTACCCGGACATTTACCCCGCATTTACCCGGACAATTACCCTGCGCATTACCCCCAGGGTCTTTAACACCATGCCATTTCACCCCCAAGGAATCCACACCTGGACATTACCCCTGGACAGATTATCCCCCGACAATTACCCCTGGATTTACCCGGGCATTTACCCACGGCATTACGCCCCCGGAATTACACCCCGGACAATTACCCCCCGGCACACTTTTACCCCCGACATTTACCCCGGACATTTTACTCGCCGCATCCCGGACATTTACCCGGACAATTACCCGGATATTTACCCGCAGAACACTTACTCCCCGTGATTACTCACTTGGTGTTTATTACTTCATTGATAACAGTGATACAGGCAGGGTCGGAGTGAAGGAAGAATGGGGGTGGAGGGGAGGGGGGAAAAGGTTGAAGGATAGAGTAGTGTGGTGGGGGGCATGAGAAGAGGAATAGGAGGTGCGTAGAGGAGGAGGAGGAGGAGTGGAGGTGGAGGAGGAGGAGGCGACGCGAAGCGTGGGAAAGGAGGGCACTTAGGGGGGGAGGTGGAGGAGGGAGAGGAGGAGAGGAGGAGAGGATGAAGGAGGGAGAATGGGTGAGAGGATGAGGAGGAGGTGAAGGAGGAGGAGGGAGAGACCGTGGGTGGGAGAAGAGTGGTGTGAGTGCGGAGGGCGAGAAGGTGGAGAGAGGAGCGAGGGAGAAGTGCGGCGGGGGCAGGTGGTGGAGGAGGAGTGGAGTGTGGTGGGAGGAGGAGAGGAGCCGAGATATCGTGTGGGGGGGAAGGGGGAGTGGTATTGAGGTAGAGGAGCGTAGAGGCGCCCTTCCTCATACTTTTTCCTCCCCCACCCTCCTCTCCTCTCTTCTCCTTCTTCCTCCATCACTATCTCTCTCCTTCCTTCCACCCTCTTCCCTCCTCCCCTCATTTCTTCGCATTTCTCCCAATCTTCGTCCCCTCCCTTTCTCCACTGCTCTGCTCCTCTACCTCCCTCCACCTCTTACTCCTCTCTTCCTCCTCCCTACAGCCTTTACCCTCTACACCCTGGCCTCCGTCTCCTCCCTTCTCTACTCCTCACCTGCCTCCTTCCTCTTCCTCTCCTCCCGTAATACCCTCCTCTCTCCACCTCCTCTCTCATTTCTTTCTCCTCCGTCCACTTTTTCCTCCTATTCTCATCTCGTCACTTCTCCTCCTCTCTTACCTTCTCCCTCCTCCTTCCCCTTTCCCCACGTTCTCCCTCTATACTTATCCCTCCTCTCTCCTCCCTCTCCACCTTCTCTCACTCCACCTCCTCGTCTCTTCGTCCTTCTCCTCTCTCCTCTCTACCCCCTCTCCTATCCCCTCCTCATCCCCACCCACGTTATCCCAGTTCTCCCTCTTCCTCTCACTCCTCTTCTCATCTCCCTCCTTCCTTTCCTCTTTTCTCACCTCTCCCCTCCTCCTCTTCTCCTTCTCCCCTCCTTCCCTCCCCTTCAGACCTCTGCCTGTTCACTGTCTCCATGATATAACCACACGTGCGTAAAGTAAAAAAATCTGTCCGGGGGGGGGGGGGGGCGTTATTGTTCCAGGCCTAATGTCGGGGGGTAAATGTCCGGGGGGTAATGTCGGGGGTTTGTCTTGCTGGCGGTAAATGTACGCGGGGGTAATTGTTCCGGGGTAATGGCGGGGGGTAATTGTCCGGGGGTATGGCGGGGGGTATTGCTCCGGCGGGTTATGTCGGGGGGTTAATTGTCGGGGGTAAATGTCAGGGGAGTAATTAGTGGGGGTTTATGGTCCGGGGGTAATTGTGGGGGTGGTCGGGGACGGTATTGTCCGGGGGTAAATGGCATGGGGGGTAAATGGCATGGGGGGTAATTGTCCGGGGGGTAATTGTCAGGGGGTAATTGTCCGGGGGGTGATTGTCCGGGGGTAATTGTCCGGGGGGTGATTGTCCGGGGGGTATTTGTCCTAGAACCGGCCGAGCATGCGTGCGAAAATGCCCGGTGCACTATAAATCTGTATCACACCCGCTTCGCCGGCAGCGGTTTGAAACTGTAAACAACTCAGTCAACTGATTTCTTGGACTGCAGATTTCAATTAGACATTTCTTAGTAAGCAGCAGTGATATAGGACAAACTAATATGCGTTTGGCTATAAGGTAATGTACTTATTAACTACATAAGGTGCCAGTTACCATAGCATTCATCAACATTGCACATCAATGGACATATTATTCCTTTAAAGAGCTAACGCTTACTAAAAGCACAGTTTAAGTTATTGGAATCACGTTATATTTCTTAAAAATTTGAACTTGCAAATTGCATCTGTTCGCTAATAGAGTATTTTTATAACAACATTGTTTATACGCTGCCCCACAGTTACAGGCAGAATATTGATTTTCCCATTCAGTTTTAAAGGCACATAACAAACCAAGAGTACAGAATCAATATATGCGAATGCAGACCTACATCTATAAGCGTTATTAGCCAATTACATAGCAACCTCTAGCTGATCATCAATCCATAAGTGTTAGCATTAATGAAGAGCAAAGGTCCACCGACACATATATAGCTAAGTAGATCTATCTATTGCTGGTAACTGCTTACCTCCAGGGTCTTCATTACCAAGTGCAGTCAACAACTCTCGGTCCATCACTCCATCGCCAGTTGCTGTCACTTTGCCTGTTGTCTGCTTCTTCATGTTCTCTGTGTCCTTCTTGTCCTTGTCACCCTCCACCGATCCACAAGCGCCCTCTGTGTGTTCACAAGCACCCTCGATGTGACTGGCAACATCTGCCCTCGCAAATCGTCCCGTGGCGGCGCCAGCATCCGAGACCCGCCCCGCAGCATGGTCTTGCAGTTGCGACGCGAGCACGCCTAGTGAGTTCTGCGTCGACGCATCCTTCAGTTCTAGGTTGGGCCATAGGTGCGCATGCAGTGCCTGCACGACGCGCCGCATACCACCCAGCTCCACCTCCTCGAAGCCCTCATCCGAGTCGTCGGCTTCGTCGCCACTCGACGGCTCGCCATACCGCTCGACGAGCTCAAACGCCACCTTGAGGCAGTAGCTACGCAGCTTCTCTCGTGAGATCACTGCACCCGAGTTCTCGGCGAGCGTCTCACAGACAAGCAGTCGCACGTCAGGCTGCCAGTGGGCGACGAACGTGAGCCAGCAGCGCACCGCGCTGAGGCTCTCCTCACTCTTGCTGTCAAAGTGGATGACTACGGCCTGTACGGCGTCAGTGAACTCGCGGCAGCCGAGTGTCTGCGTCGGCAGTGTGCACAGGTGCACATCAGCGCTGTAGTACTTGGTGTTGATGTGCCACGGGTATGCCTGGATCGTGTCGGCCCACATCTCCGGCTCCGGCAGCACGTCATCACCGATCACCTCACGGATGAGATGCTCTGGCTTGTAGCTCGAGCAGCTGATGAAGACAGCGCACGGTCCCGGGACGAGTGCCGCCGATGCCATTACTACAAGATGTCAGTCGCTCTGAGATTCAATAGTCTGCAAAATAACACCAGAACCGTGGCAAATACGAATTAGCTCGTTTTTTGAACAAAACTTGCTTGTGTTGTTTGCATACATTGTTCAACACACAGTCAAGTGGAAATCAGGGTAGCAACAGTTGTGTGAACAACTTGGGTCTCACCAGTTAGTAAACTTTTTACTGATTACTCCGGCACAACAATCTCCACATATTTGTGCTGTTATAGTCTATGAAACAGCAGGGGAACACCCAAGTGTGCCCGCTATCTTCAGATTTCCGAAATGAAATGTTAAAACGGTCCCACAAAATCAGTGCACTTAATTACGTGACGCATATATATTCATAGACTGGTACCTATCTCGAAATGTATACAAAGGTAACTAACAAAAAATCACTAGGTTTGTTGACATATATACATATGTAAACAATCAAACAGGGCATGAAATTCAGATTTTTTGCACCAGCCCTCTGGGCTGGAAACAGCAGTTTTTTTTTTACCAGCCCTCACAAATTTTGTTAGCTGTTTGAACCAGAAGAGACCTAAAATAAGACTTGGAATGATAATTAAAATCACGCTGGTCCGAAAAATGTTGTAGTGTGCGGCATCGCGTAGGAGCTGTTGAACAAGACTATTATAATTCAGGTCGTGAATGATGTCCGAAGTGTTTTTCATTCATTCATTTCAGGTGCTGACTGGCAGCCGTTCTACGCACATCCTGATCTCTCTCCCCCTTGTGATATTGCCCTCTACACTGTTGTCACCAGTTATCTCTATCACTCGCTTCTTTAGCAGCGGTGATTGCGCAAAGTGTTGGAATCAGGTAAAACAGCAATGTAGGCCATTTGCTCATTAATGCTATAAATACAAATGTAGGTCCTCGCTAAGACGGCTGAAACCACCGGCTAGGAGGGCCGGTGTTTTGCCAATGTTACTGGCCCTCTTAATAATCTGCCAGCATATGCCTGTGGGCCAGGGAATAAAATACACGGGAGCGACAAGCGATTTCGCTCTGGTAAGCTCTAAAATCGCTCTGGTAAGAACAATAACGGGAGCGATCGCCCCAGAGAGAAAATCGCTCCCGTGGCCTGATAAATTGAAACGTACACAAGTAGGCAGTGGGAAAAATATACGGGGGCTCGGGGCGATTTAGCCCCCGAAATGCCAAAAAGAGCCCCGGAAATGCCAAAAAGAGCCCCCGTAAATTTGCATAGAGTTCAATGCAAACTAAATTTTAGAGTGCTATTTTTATGCACGCGAGCTTGACTACTACGTTCCGGCAGTACCCCGGGGGACATAGACCCTCTCAGCCTCTGAGACTGTGACAAATTAACCGTGTACTTTCTTATTTTGAGACTGACAAAAGAAACAAACAACTGCACAGTGGTATTTTTATATATAAAAACATTTATTTACATCCAAATGAAAAGATAACGTGGTTTATACCGTATGTTTATTACAGAGTAACAAAACAATAAGCAATCTAGAAGTAGTGACTAGTGAAGCATCTGTACATGTAGAGAGAGAAGAGTGAGAACTGAGAAGGGGAGTGGTGGACAGAATGGTAGTATGGTACTATGATAGAACTTAGAAGATCTATGGGAGAGGTCAGAGGTGTCGGAGCCTCGGAGGCAGCATTGTGAATGCGAATCGATTCAAAGGATGTTTGGATCATGAGTTACAAGTGTGATTAGTGATATGTAGTAATGTAAATATAATTATAGGTACATGTATTAACAGAAAATTCGACACGCTCATGGAATTAATAATACATACAATTTACATTGATGTCCCCATCCCCACAAATAAAATAAGAGTGCATTATATATATTGATTATATTACGTATTTTTCGAAAATTTGAAACTATGAAAATGGCTCTGGAGTCTTGATACATAAAAAATGGCTCTGGAGCTTCAAAAAATGGCTCTGGCAAATTTTTGAAAAGTCAGAAAAATGGCTCTGGTGAAAAAAAAAGTATTTTTTACCCTGCTGTGAGCTGGTGCTAATTTCGCTCCCTGTCTAATTAAAAATGCAGATCGGTTTACATATTGGTGGAAAGAATGTTGTGCGGGTGTTCTATGACATGTTAGCCTTAGGCCTACTATACACATTTGGTGTTTATGCAAGGAGTACTGGTACGTATCAGAACGGTATACTCTCTGTCGTTTCTCTTGATAGTCACATCACATGTACCTACATACTTTCTAGAAATTGAGCTATTTGGTGAAACAGCGCTAAGCAGATCGATATAGGTTTTAATGTACGAAGCTAAGGTTGTGTTCTCACATTTTATTTATTCCACACACCATACAGATATAGATACGTGTTGTACCATGCAGTGCTTGCCACAGCTAGCACATTAGAGTTGCATTCCTGCACCCACTCGTGTTTAAAACATAAGGATTTTATTTGAGACCACAAGCCCAGAGTAGTACAGTGTTATTTACGATAAACTACCGGCCCACAATCCCTTATCTGCAATTCTGAAATTTAAACATCACTGTTACACGAGTTTCGTGTGAAGCATCATTCATAGGCATGACATGATATAATACGGTAACACTTTTTTCTAGTCATAAAACTCTGTGTGAATATTCATAAAATCAGCTGTAGCAACATTACTGCGTTTGCTTACAGAATGCTATGAGTGTCGGAAAACCATCTAGGTAGGTAGACCGTTTAATTACGCACTAGAACTTTTTATAATCTGACGCTATTCTGGGCCTAGAAAGCTTTAGCATATAAAAGTTATCCAGCATAATTTATTGGTCTACCACCGAGGGTGGTAGGGTACTACCTTAGCAGGGTGCGAAATTAACGGGAGTCCGGAGTCAAATACTCCCTGATTTACTGTCGGACTCCCTGATTTGACATATGCAGGAGTCCGTGTGACTCCCTGCAAATTCTGCCATACTAACTAGTTCATTCCAGAGCATGGCCTCGCGGAATTACCGTATTTTTTCAGCTAATGTCCAAAGAAAATTTGGCAGACGTGTAACCGCATGCATCTTAAAAATAACCACACACAGAGCTCAGAAATTCGGTATTTATCGTTTACACGAGGCAAAATGCGCGGTCCAAGAAATACGGTATCTAAACAGATCCGGTATTTGTTGAAATACGCAGATTCCCAGACCCCGAATAATTTGCCGTGCTTGAGAAATACCGGATCTCTTGGACCGCGCATTTCCTCGTGTGAACGCTGAATACCGTATTTCTGAAGCCCTGTATTTTATAGACTGGTCCGCGCTCAACAGTTCCAGTGTAACGCAAGTGGAACTGTCGAGCGCGGACCAGTCTACGTATTTTATCGGCAGTTGGTGCGCATTGCATTGTTTATTTCGCATTGTTCGCTTGATTGTTCACTTGGACGCTTTTTTTCCAGTGTACTAAAGCAGCTCGTAGCTCGCAAATACGGCATTTCTGGAGCCGCGAATCAGCGTCTGAACGCTCGGTCGCGTATTTGTCTCAGATTTGGTATTTCGCAAATACCGTATTTCATAAATACGAGGTCTCGTGTGAACGAGGCTTTTCTTAATATTATTTATTTTGAACCTCAGACTGCGGACTCCCTGATTCTGCTGCGGACTCCCTCTTTTTGAGGGTAGGGAGTCCGCTGGATTCCCGTGTTCAATAGTTAATTGCTACCCCTGCTTAGCCCTTTCGCTGCTGTAATGTTTGAATGTCCAAAACAAATAACACTAATAACACATTAGCTGAGTTTTACTGGTTCATGCTTTTAATGTGAGTGACCGATTTCTGTTCGATTTCCTGGACCAAAAAACGTACACCACTCTACCAACCAAAACCAATAACGATCCTCCCTGTCACAACACTGTGACAATACTGTGTTCATGTTAATACCAACATCTCAATGTTGTAATGTTTGTAACGACAGATGGCGCCAGGGTGGCCAGTGTCACGAAAACCGGTAGCATGGCTGATCGTAACAGCAGTTGCCAATAAAGCAGTTCCATTCAACAATGGCTTTCTCTCTTGATTACTCACACAACGCATATTGAAACATGGTGGCAGCGGTGTAAGTGATTAAAGACCAATTTTACCCAGATCATGGAAGGATTCATGCTGGAGAGACATGGGTAAAGTGAAGAGAAATGCGCTGGAGTGCAGCCCGCCAGAATTCCTTTGTTCTCCCGGATCAGCTGGCGGTAAATACAGCAGCAGCAAGCAGGCGGCCGTGCAGTATTGGCGAAGCAGGGAGTCCAAATACCAATGTTGGTTTGGGCATCCGCTGACCAAGACTGGCGTGCGAAGAGTGGATAGACTCTCTCTCAAGACATCACTCCCACTCGCGACGCCGGTGTAGAGCTGCATGATTGAGACTCGCCGCCGAGCAGGTACAGAGACGCGGAGTGCAAGTGACTGCATCTGCTACAGTGCTAATGAACGGTTGGACTGTGTACCTGTTAATCGTTCATCGTCTACCTTGTGGAGAGTGCCTGATGCTGAGAGCAAGTGACTTCTCCTAGGGCCTACTGAATGAACGGTTTAATTGACTTGTGATCCGGCGAGACATAAATAGTTTGAAAGGAACTGGAACGTATAGTTGCCTATGCTAGCCTATAGTTAGCTGCTGATAATTTGTATTGCACATTCGTTTCCACGTATATTTACAATGCATGGTTTGGCAGAATTTGTAACAAGCATACGTGTAGGTTCGGGTGTGTATATTATTCGCACTGTTTGCACAATGTGTCACGATATGCCCTGATAATTGTGTCATACATGTACATGAAACAATGTCCACAGTAATAAGCAGCGCATGATATCCCTCTATTAATGTGTGTTATGCATTAAGGGTTGTGACAGTACGTTTGTTTGACGTAGTCGGTGTCGTTTGACGTTGTCGTCGTTGTGACATGTCGTTGTGCAAAAGGTTTGTTTCATGACTGTTTAACCAGTATATGCATTACTATTACATGTAGTTTTGACCATTCGGTGTGAAGCAACATGGCACAGGCACCACCCAATAACGTTTATGTTACTCCCACTCTCTC